AATCTTCACAAACGGACGGTTCGCTACCCGCTCATTTGCGGGTAGTGCCAGCGAGTAGTTCGTTTCTCGCGGACGCTAATTTTGAGAGCAGCAGGGGTTTTTTTAGCTGTCGGGCACTGGAGTACAAAAAATTCTTTTAAAACTTTGTTTTTAAATCTAGCCTCAAAAGAGTGGCACACAAACCTAAAGCAACCTCCCTTACTTTCGTTGAAACAACAGTTACGGCGATATTTCGCTAAAAATAGTCCTTAAGACAGCTTTTTCTTTATCAACTGAGCAAAACAGCGTGAGGCTCTTTCCACGGAAGAGTTGGTTGTGGATGAAGGAGCCTGTGGCCTAGATTCCCCGTTTTGGTAAACTCTGAAAGCTGGAGAGTTATTTGCATATGAGGCCCTATCAAGGATGAAAGAGAATTTGCAGTTCAGTCTCGCCGTTTTTGCCCAAAGGGGGGGTGCCTGGATTGTAACATAAAATCCATAGTTTCTCAGCCTTCGGACACATAAGATAATATAGTGCCTATGGTTTTATAATAAAGAATCAAGATTTTGTGCATAATTGAAATAATAGTAAAGTCAGATACAGTATATTAGCTCAGTCAGACACCAGTGTAGTAGAGTCTGATACCAGTGTGTAATACAGTCAGATATCAGTGTAGCAGAGTCTTAGATACCACGTGGTAGAGGGGGTCAGATACATACTCATTAAAATAGCTATAAATGGTGAAAACCACTTTATACAAACTATCATTGTGTCCAAGTGTTGATAACAAGCATTAAAATTCATGTGATAATAATTGAAAATGACCGAATGTCAATATTCTGCCTGAATCCATGAGAAAACACAAAAAAATGTGACTGAACACGTAGATAAATCGGGTGTCACTTTTGCACCCAGTAAGGGCCTCAAATATGCGAACAAGCTGAAACAGTACATTCCTGGGGTCATCCAATCACAGGGCTTCCTGTAGCTGGTTTCGGTTTGTCCCTAGGGCAAGGCAGAAAGGAGATATATAAAGCTTTAAAGTCGACGTGCCTGTTTTCGTCCTAATTTTGACCGACCCAGTAATTTTACTCTATTTCTCCGAATGTTCGAGAAAATAGACTTGAACTTTATTTCTCCTAACAGTTTCCGTTCTCGAGATTTGTTAATAATAATTGCGAATGTCCCATGTGTGTGTGTGTGTGTAGGCCTAAGGTGTGAACGGGGCGTGGCGGTGGGGGGATGTTTTTTGTTTTTTTTACATGCTGGATGACACGGTAACCGGCAACCGGGTACGTAGTCTCAGTGTCACGTGCATGGTAACCGGGCTGTTCAGAACTCCAAGTTCAGTTTTTGTCATCCGATGTTGCCTTCAACCCCACCCCTCCCCCGACTGTATCTTTTTAAAAAATCAATAATCTCCTCATTCCGGAGCCCTATAATACTTTGCAGCGCTCAAGACTTTGAATGAACTTTGGTGACCCCAACCGGTACTCTTTAGATAAATAAGAACTTAATCTTGATTAGTAATCAATGTTCTCTGTTAATTTTTGTTCTTTACTAGATCTGGATCTACTAGTTACCTAGTTGGAAAGATGTTAGTCTAGTTAAGTGGTGAAGGCTGCTTAAAAGCAGTTGGTTGTATTTTATGTCATTTATTTTTCTTTCCATGCAGTATGAGAGAGGAGCGGCAACAGCTTTTGTGTCGAGAAACAAAGCCTTAAAGAAGTTGCAGCTCTCTCTCCCAGACTTCAGGTATGTATCACACCCATGGGGTGTTTTTGATTGAGGCCTGTTACTCGGTTTATGTCGTATGATCATTATGATGGCTCGTTACCAAATAAGACTTGCTGATTTTAATTTAGTACACAATCACCAAAATGCCAGTATGGAGAAGCAGACCAAATTGTGGAGTACATTATCCAGCAGTGCAGGATACAGGACAGGAAATGTGGTGAAACCCTATTGACACATATTCAGGACGCAACGGGTGTATATACGTCCGATAGCCTTGAGTTCCGTTGGAGACACATCCGAGGAACAAACTTTTATTTGACATTGCTAAGCCATTTTTATTTTGTATTTATTTCCCCTAGACCGTGTAGATTCGTTTGTTTGTAATTTTTCTGTGGCGATTTGTGAAGGCCGTGGAGAGGTGACAAAGAACACGGATCTTCTGGTGGTAGTGCCATACAAAGAAGGACTATTCACAGTGGCTTTAACTATTTCTTCAAAGTATTTGGACTAAATTATGTTGTGATGTGTTTTTAGCTGCATTATAGTGTTGTAACTTTATCTTGTTTGTTTCTGCATTTTTTCACTGTCAGCTTGGGGAATGGGGGTCTCCTCATACACCATTTTTGTAGGGGTCCTGGCAAGCTCAGGAATATATCCAGGCAAATTGGGTTAGATTTAAGGCAAAGTCCAATTATTAAATGTGTAGATTAGATAGGGAAAACAGCATTTTAAATGTCAAAAGGGAAAAAATGGCAGACTTTCAAGGTTGACTCAAAATCGTGTGTCTCTGGGTGCAAAGCTGGTCCAAAACCTGCGTCCCGGGTGAGTTAACACTACAGGAGATGCTGTACGGGCCTACAGAGGAACAAAGCAGGACTGACTAGTATATGATAGATACCCGATTTCAAATGTGATGAGACCTGGAAGAAGAAGACTTGCTGAAATCAGTCTGTTGAAGGGAATTGTGTGCATGTATGTCCAGAATCTTTTACAAAATAGGCTCATCTAAGAAGCTTAGTTAGTAGTGGTTACTCTAGTTTTGACATCTTTTCCATTTCAATGTTGCTAATGCTCTTAATTTGCTTTTTGTGACGAAATAGTCATTTTTGTGTTGGATTACTACTTAACTGTTCTATAACTTGTGCTTACTGGCACAATCAGTAGAGGGACCCTCGGCAACATTTTGGAGAGAGCAACAGAGCATCAATGGTCATGTCCGAAGTGCAGGGATGTTGCTTCCTGAAACAAGAACAAGATAACTTGTGCTTTCCAAGAGTCTTACAACTTGTAGAGATGAGGCCTGTAGAAATAGTGGGTGGGTTTCACAGTTGTAGGACGATTTTGAATTTTTTACATTGTTACACTTATATTTGTCCATCAGAACGTTGTGCGTCTTCAAGGGCATTTACCCGGTGGAGCCTCTACACAAAAAGAAAGTGAACAAAGGTAGTACAGCCATCAAGACCTACTACAATCTCAAAGACATCCAGTTTCTGTCACATGAACCTCTCATCAACAAATTTAGAGAGAAAAAGGTAAAAGCTAACAAGATGCAATATCTGCTTACCTACATTTTGTTTAGTTAGTCCAATAGTTTATAATATATAAACGGAGTGCACTGTCATTGTTATGTAACATGCCTGTGGGAAATGGATGATTGGCAAATATAATATTTTGTTTATAATTTAAGGTTACATTTGGTGGCTTTTAAGCACAAGGGGGCGATCCCATAAAAATGCTGTTTTGTGAAAATCGAAGGTAAAGTTTTTGCCCCTTGTTCAGTTTCTTCAAAAGACAAAGAGAGTTTTCTCTATAACCAAACAAATATACACACCAATGAAACCGAACTTTTCCTATAGGTAGGGCAATGCCCACTTTTGTTGTAGGTTAAGATTTCTGGAAACCCCCAAAATCTGGGTTAGCCCGCTTGTCCTTAAAAGCGACCATTTTTGTAGGTGGTGTGTTTCTCGTACATGGATTGAGTGAATCTCTCAGATGTAGAAAAAGGATGACAGTAGTCTCCGCTTAAACGCACAGTGCTCGGGAGGGCTCCTTAGCGTCACTAAATGTGTGTTTACTCCGAGCGTATGTTTACATGATCCTTTGCAAAGGGAGGAAGGGACGCAGTCATTTCATTGCCTTGATATTCTAGTGACCTCCCTTGAGGGGTGGGGGTCACTTTGGGCAGATAATGTGATGTCACATGACTGTTTTGTGAAGGATTCCCCGAATGCATTTAAGGCTACAAAGGCGTTGAATGGGGGGAGGGGGGGGGCAGACTCAGTGTAATGAATATGCACTATAAAACACCAGGAACAGATAGTCTAAGAGGAAACTGTTTGAGATAGTGATAGAGACGACGGCCCAGCCACGTGGCTTTCCAAGCGACCACCCCGACGGTAAATTCATGGACGACATCAGAATCATAGACCTTCATTCAGAGAAACATTTCTATTGTGATTCACTGAACAAGTACGTTATAAGAATGTAAGTTTTTCGAGCGCAGCTGATTAGGCTTACTTGGCTAATCTTGAATCCTATAGAGACCTGTCTGTTTTGCGGCACTCATGCCTCCACGCGTGTTGCACATCATAGTCCTAGGTCTTTCTAAACATTACATGCAGTCACCCAAACACCAGTGAGAAACCTTGTCTCAAAGGTACATTTCCAGTAACCAATGAAAAAACAGTTCAGTCCCCCGTTTCACCGACCAACCCTAGACCATGACCTATGTGGCTGTGGAAATTAGGTGTGAAAAACGCTCTCCGTCACTTTTTTTGTTTGGTGTGAAGGGCACACTTACCAAATATCCAGTTTTCTAGGCTTGTCTTATGCAAGCTGAGCATGTTGTAGTGAAAATTTCTCCTTGTCAAGCCTAACCTGTCGGCGTGTTTCGCGTATCGGAGGATGCGTTTAAAGGGAGTGACTGCGTTTGTACGCCTAAATTATGTTGTAAAAAATCCGCCAGATGAAGAAAGTGTGCGTTTGAGCAGAGTGTGCTTTTGTATGGTGTGCATTTAGGCGGAGACTACTGTAAAAGATATATGTGGGAGGGAGACTACAGAAATTGTATATGTATGTTCCTGTATATTTGAAATAGTTACTTCTGTTCAGCCGGCCCTGTATGAATCTCTCATCGTGGGATCAATGAAATTGGTCCTTGTCATATTATTATTATGATTATCATTATTTTGTCTTCTTTCAGCATTATGTGCGGAGACTCAAAAAAGCTATTGCAAAGAAAAACAGATTTGCAGAGTCCATCATTAGAGACAACAAACCAGTGTACAGCTTGAAGTCTGTGATCAAGGAGAGGTAGGGTTGGGTATTTTTTTTAAATTGTTGTTTTTAGTAAGAGTTTTTTTACAGTACTTGCAACACAAATAGATCATTTTTTAACACTTCACCTAGATGAATTTCCAACTGGAGATTAAATAAATAATATCTGTTGCTATTTGGGTGATCCCTAACTAATGCCTACCAAAATAACTTAATCATCCACTGGTGGATTATATTGTTCAGGTTGGCAAGTACTGGTGTAGTGTCTTGTGAGATTAAAGGTCAGCCCTCCTGGGGTTTGGTGTTCTCGGAGGGCCCCAGTATTTAGCTCTGTGGTTAAAATTCACACTCCGAAAAATCATCATAATTGAGATTTCGAGATTCATTTGAGTATTTGTGTTTCTGCCAATGTATTTCATCAGACCGTACATTGAAAAACTTTTGACTTCTTCAAAGTTTCTTAGTGGTTAATTTCTCTCTGTTTTACAAACAAGAACATTTCAGGTTAAAGTTTTGTCTCCTCTTGTGTTCCAGATATCCGTCGTTCACTGATGCGCTACGGGACCTGGACGACTGCCTCAACTTGAGCTTTGTTTTTGCCTCACTCCCTCACTCCAAGCTGATTCATGTGGATCTTGTGCAATTGTGTCGCAAAAGAACCGGTGAGCGTTGCAGTTTTTGGAGGGGTGTTTGGGACTTATTATTCTATTTTACATAGAGATCTTATGTCGTTGGTGTATTTGCACATAAATGAAAACATTTCAATTTATCAAGAATTTCGTTGTGTAACCACTCCATTTCCCAATAGATATCAAACTGAGACTACTATCTTGATGTTTTTTAAAAATCGGCTATCTATTTGTGTACCATTCAGACTTTTTAGAAAACAATGGTAGTGCTGGAGTGCCTCGCTTCTTTCCTAGCTTACAGTTGTCCAGTGCTTTTAACGTGCATGTTCATTGTTCTAAGTTGTTATTCTTCTCTATGAATGATTCTCAGAATAATTTAATTGAAATTAGTGACATTATTTTTCTGGTATCTTTGACTGACTGCTCCTCCTTTCCTATCAAACATCTCTCGTCCTTATCTCCCCTTCTTCTTTTTTTATGTTTGGTTTTTACTCTCTTGTAACAGCTCTAATCTCCTGGCACTCATATGACCTTATGCAGTTGCGAGCGCTGTAAAACTTCTACTAAAACTAAAAATGACTAACTTTTGTGTGTTTTCCCGTAGTTGAGTTCCAACACTTTGTGATGGCCACCAAGGCATTACGAAAGGTGAGTACTGTCTTTCAGATCACGTGCCATTTTGGTCTTGTGTTGATTTTTACATAGTAGTACAAATAGCTTAAGTACCCTCAAATTTTCAATTTAACAGGATGTCCAGCAAGGTTGTTAAGTCGTAAAAATGTTGTAGATTCAGTGCCCTGGTCGTAAATGGAAATAAATGTGATGTGATTGTAGTAAATTAAACCTGGGTAATGAACATGAGTAATGGTCCCCTGAGTCTTTTCAGTGAACAGAGTCGTAGCCGTGTTACTCAACGATTACCAAGTCCCATCTTTTGCAGATGCTCGACACTCTAGATATCGGGTTGCATGTCTTTGATTTTTTGTATTTGCCGTCGTCTTGAGGGATCGATCTTAGTAGTAGTACAATCTCTGAGTAGTATCAGTATCGCGGAACTCGAATATTTGAAAACCAAGTCTGATAAGGTCAGTAAGTTCATTTTTTATGGTCGCAATTGTGGTATAATATTCGTTAAGCTTTCCCCGATCTGAGAGTACGTTTCACGCGAACAGGCGGCCATGGCGGCAGGCGGACATGTATGTGACACCGAGGTTCGATCGGGAAAATCAAGATCTTTCACTGTGTCACCTTGCAAATAAAATTTAATCTATACTCGCATTAGTCACTGTGCTGTCACTTGTGGGGAAAAAAAAGAAAAGAAAATACCAAAGTCGTCCGATTTTTAGATTGTCGGGCTAGTTGTCATGACCAGTCAGTGAACCTGCTCGTGTTCGCATCACAAGATATGGCATCGTGTGAGTACCGGCGGTTGATGGGGTCTCCAATATTCATTCAAAGTGTGAGCGTAGCGAAGTATAGATGGTTGGTGAAAGTGACAGCATCTAGATTCTTGATCTATGACCATGGAAAAACTCAGCAAGATAGTCTTTGAAGAGTAGATTGACAGCACTTTTGGCATACTGAAACCCAGGCTAGAGACGGACTTATTTTTCGAGTGATTTTTGTGACTATATGTGTAGACTATATTTAGAGAGAGATCTAGACTAGATCCAGTACAATGGGAAAGTGCTTCTTTATCAACACTGATTGGTTGTCCAACCTTAAGTATTCAGAATGATTGATGGAGTATCCACATGATAAAAGCAAGTTCGGATGTCAGTTTTGTTCCCAAGTGTTTGTCATTGGTCATTCGGATGTAAGGGCTTTGAACAGTCTCATGATATTTCAAAATCACATGAAAGCCCAAACCAGGCAGTGTGGTGCAAAATCTATTCTTAGCTTTACCAAGAACAGAGCAAAGGTTGTGAGCGATACTGAAAGGAGCACCAATAGTAGGAGGAAGATTTCCCTGGCCACCCTGACAGGACGCGTTGGTGTAGGCCGTGTATAGAATCGGTGATCAAGTCCGCTATCGTAAGATGTGTACGAAATAGCCCTTTCTACGTGATTCTCTTTGACGAGAGCCGTAACACAGACAACGGCAAGAAACAACTTGACCTATAGTGGTAGGATTTTTTTTGGGTGTGGTAGGATTTTTAGGAGGAAGATTTCCCTGGCCACCCTGACAGGACACGTTGGTGTAGGCCGTGTATAGAATCGGTATCATTCATACCTTGTAAGCTGTGTTATTGAACTAAAGTGTACACTTTTCATTGGATGGGTGATAGTAAATAACTATATTGTAGCTTTCTGTTCAAAACTGGCAGATTTTCAGTGTCACTGCATCTTGCCCTCCCTCAGTTGTTACAACTCTCACACTGCATGGGTCTACTTGAGCAGTTCAAGTTATTGCTCTACTTTGAGTTGGAGCAATAATTTTTGTCTTTCACGTTCATAATATGAATCATGAGTTCCACACTGGTTCTTGACAGTCGGTATTCCGGTTCTAGGCCCTTCCACATGCTCAAAGCAGGATTCATTTTTAAATATAATAATGAGAGGAAAATATAACACACTGAAATGCTTAAGTCAAACAAGACCCCAGTGCGACACAGATTTGTTGACTGGATATATTGTGTGTGTGTGTTTTTATGTAACATGCCTCTGAAAAATGGATGTGTAATATTGATATTTTATTGATGGCGCAAATGAATTCCTTTTCTCAAGCTGCTGTGGGGCTTGATTTGCTGGGAAGTAAATTTTTTTCCAGGTAGTACATTTTTTCAGGAAATATGTGTCACGATGCAGTGGAATCAGGCGCCTTTCAATTTTTGGGCATGTGGAGTTGTTTGCATCGTCTTAAAACTTGTTCATCTGTTTTCACTTTTAAAAAATTAAAATACCCACCTACTTTGGATAGGAGTCAAGATATTTGCAATTGAAGAAGGTGGAGATCACCTGGTGTCTGAGGTAAAATAAGTAAGTACATGGCAACCAAAGTTTGGTGATTTCCAAAGCTTGAGTGTCCTTAAAAACCGCACTTTTACAATTTTTGTACCGCTGATCAACGTTTTTCAGAATAAAATCTACCCAGAAATGTGTTTTAAATGGACATAAAAGTTGTTGAGCCTAAAAAAAGAAATATCAAACAAAATTGCCCAGTTGCCAGGTTTCTTTGATTTCATTATTTTGACGACAGCTTGATTTCACCACGATACCTCGCATATTGCTGTACACCCTGTTTTTAAACACATTTTGAATGTCCATATGGCTGGTGTTATTTTCTTGTTCTTAAAATGGCAGCTGTATGTGTGTGTTTCTTAAGACAGAAGTGGCCGCCCTCTCTTCTCAGATACGGGACCATCGTATTTCTAGCTGTGTTCCATTGTACCATTCCATGGGAAACTCTTTAGTTACATCAGATAATGTTTAAGGATTCCGACTGGTTATGATTCTTTCTAAAGAGAAAAAATAAACCAATTTGAAAAAGGTCTTGAATTGTGCTTGATTGTTTATAATGGTCTAAATGTGCTGCAGTTGTAAGAGCACGGAACCTTTATTTGAAAAAATTGTAGTATGATTCTGCTACATGACAGCTTTGTGTTGCTGGGTCATGTTGAAATAGTAATAATGCCTTTGTTTTCTCATTTTTTGCTACATTTAGGTGTTTGTATCGATCAAGGGCATTTACTACCAGGCAGACATCAAAGGGGAGACCATCACATGGGTTGTGTCACACAAACGAGGGCACCAGGTAAGTTTGTGAAGTGGCTCATCAGAACAACTTCCCCATCTAGGCATTTGCTACAGAAGTTTCAAGGGATTGGGAACAGAATGCAAATAAAAAAGGAACTAAGATGGCTCACTCATTTTCGGGGAGAAACAAGGTTGTGCTAGAGGGATGTCTTACACCTTGTCATTATATCTAAACAAAATGATGCAAAACCGGTTAAGCGACGTTTTGGAAAAATTTGTTGCCTGCTATCAGTTGCACAGTGTTTTCGGCCAAAGCCCAACGCGTACTTCATAAAAGCCACCAAAAAAATCTTCTTTTTACGCATGTTTGTGTGATTAGCAGCATTAATAAAAGATGATTTTCTCAAAAGTGCTAAACTGGATGTAGCGGGTTTTACATCTCAGCCCCTCATATACACTGTTAACAGTTAGAATAGGATAAGGCAATCTCTTATGGTTATTATGATTTAGTGATTATTGAAACATGCATGGGGAAGCGCTGTTGTTGTGGTTATTTTGTTTTGTGATATATATATTTTAACCGGGTGCGAAAATTAGTTAGCAGGTTTCAGGAATCACTTTAGTTGTCTGAGTCTTAGTGCTTTAATTGTGGTTGAGCGCTACATAAATGTCATGTATTATTATTATTATTATTATTTTGTGTCTTTTAGTATGCTGTTTGTATGTTTTTGCTTCTACAACTAATCTATTCCTGTGACTGGCAGCATCCGCAAGAGGTGGACTACAAGATCATGAAGACATTTGCGGAGTACCACTCTGTCCTTTTGGGCCACATCAACATCAAGCTGTACAGCGATTCTCATCTGGTCTATCCACCACAGGTACGCCCCATTCTCTCTCTTTTTTTTTTGGATTTGTCTCTTTGCTGCTTCTGCTATTGACTTTTTTTGTCCTTTATTAATTTCATTATTGGTTTGATTGTTTTTTTAATGTATTTCTCTCTCATCTGTCATGGTTGCCATTTTGTGTTTCACATAGGCCACATGTGGACTGTCTCAACTGTGCTGCCCTTTTTTCATTTTTATTTTCTATGAGTTTGTCAATGTAGGTAGTTACAGGGTGGCACTGGTAGGTCCTACTTCTTTTCTTTCCCTTTTCTGTTTGTAATATGTCTTGCTCCTTCCCATGCACTGTATGAGCATTATTGTGTGGATGTGCTTCTCTTCCAAAAAATATACTTGAGCATTGTCTGTATTTAGAGCAGATTTGCAGGATGATGAGAGTTAATTCACTCAAGACTAAATCAGAGGAGTCTCAGTTCTCTCTTTATCGAAGTAATATAACCCTCCACTGTAATAAAAATTCAGATGAAAGCAGCCTCTCTTAAGTGTAGGATTTTGAGGTGTTTTCCTTTTTCTTTTTGAACTGAACACTTCTTGTATTCTCATTGTTTTATTTTTTCCACTAGATTGAAGAGGAGATCGGCTATGTGTCTAAAAAGTTCTGCCTGGAAGGAGACAAAATGGATGAGGTACAAACGTTAATGAGTTTATCGATCGGCACTATGCTGTTACAAAAACCCTGATAATAGCAGACACATGAGTTAGCCCACAATGCCTTTATACAGTTTCTGGTGCATGCCGACTCCTGATTTTTAAAAATTGAGGACCTGCAGATCGACTTTGGCAATAATTTATTATTTTTTTTACATTGAAACAGTTTACATATTTCTTCCAGTTCCATGGTTAGTGAACAACATAATCGAAATGTACCATGAATCAATGGCACATGTCATCCTTGTCTTAGATTTCTGTACTTTCATAAGAAGCTGGCAAATTTGTTAGTCTTTGAAGTTATTCCTCAAATCCCACAGAAATTTTCCATTGTGTCATGAGTAATAATAGTAACCTTGTTTTTGAGGGGGGGGGGGGGGGGTTTTACATCATTTTACAAGTAAGGTCAAGCCAAGTTTCTCCAATGGGGGAAGGGGGTGGGGACAAAGATATGTAATATTCCCTAGATCAAATGTTTCAACTTTCTGTTTCACCCTTTGCATACTCACTTATTTGTTTTACTTGTTTAGATATTATGTGGATCAGTTCGTATTTCCCAGACAAAGAAGCTCTTCAATATTCTCATATACAGGTGACTTGTGGAAACATTGGTTAAATTCTTTTTTTAAATGTTTCATTTTGTGTTGTCAGTCTTTTTCATTTCCACACATTTTTGGAAGGATGATTGACACTGTTTTTGTATTTTGTGAGGATTTAGATGTTTGTATTTAATGATGTTTTAAACTGTGTTCTGTTTCAGCATTTGGCTTGTTTGTCCTTGCCCATCAAGTCGGCCGGAGATTTTGTAGAGGAGGAAGAAGATGACCCAGAGGTGGATCAGCTCAATGCAGCCACCGTAAGTCGCTCAATTGTCATTTATTATTATTTCAAAGATGATATTATTCTATATTATTACCTTATAAATACAGTGAAACCTGCCCTGACGGCCACCTCTATAAGACGGCCACTTTCCATTTCCCCCCTTGCTTTTTTTTCCTATATAACTTTACTGTGTAAAACGGGCACCTGTCCAATGCGGCCGCGGCCACCTTATTTTAACTCACAACTCCTATCGCACTGAGCAATAACACCTGTCTTAGACGGCCACCTTAGTGACTCCATTATGTTTTGTCATAAATTGTGCATTGGCCCCGGGCGTTGTGGGCGAGCCGTCATAATTCAATCACCTGTCGTTGTTGTAAGACAGTCCCTCCAATCGATCATGTTGCGTAGGCCCCTCCCACTGTTGACCAATAGGTACCCGGTAACAATTTTTCAGCTTCTGGTGAGGTAAGCGTGTGATCCCTCATAACCAATAGCCATAAGCCCTGCCCACAACTCATACGCAAATCGTAAGTGAGATGAGTGGTCACTGTTTACCCAGTCTGTAACAAAGAAACAATGGACGTCAACATGAACTTGTGACAGAAGCATCGCTCTTTCTCCGAGTGGTGGCGACCTGTGTGTTTGTCATTGTTTTACCATAGCACTCGGTCCTCCTTGTCTGACACATTTCGTTTTATTGTCACTCTTGCACAAAAGCAGCGACAAAAGAAAAAAAAGAAGAAAAAAACCCAGCGAAAACAACAGCAATGATGTGGTTATCTTCGGTTGGGACCTCAGAAAGGAATGGTTTGTTTTCCTGGTCTTGATCAGTCCTGCCTAAGACGGCCGCCTGTCTTATGCGGCCACTTTTCTCCTTGACAATGGGTGGCCGTCTTACACAGGTTCGACTATATTTTTTTAACTTTTGTCTTCAATTGTAGCCTGATCTCCAAGCCCCAAAAACTTTGAGGATGTGTTACGTTGTGAAACTAACACGCTATCTCAAGTTAGCATGCAGTAGTAATATCCCCCAGTGTCTCATTGACACACAGAGAGATCGTGAACTGATGAGGTTTATTGCACTTGCTCGTGCTAGCTTTTTATAGTATGTAAAATATTTTCACTATGTCTTTGGCCTCTACTTGTACAAATTTTAAACTCTACACTTTGTCTGTCATGTATTGGAGTTTACGTGTTGTTTTTTTTGTTATTGAATGGTTGTTTGAGTTAACCTGATTTTATTCTCTTGTCTTATTACTAAGTTGAGGGCCAGGTAAAATTTCTGGTTTGAACTGAGAAGTGTCATGGTCAAATCTCAGCGGCTCAGGGCTTTTCAAAGTTGTGCCTTCACTTTCTTTAGATTTCTGTTTCCATACATAAAGTCCCATTATGACATGGTTGTGTCAATTGCTGCTTCTGAACTCATTAACTCGTGGTTGTTGAAGTGAACTTTTTTATTTTTGAATTGGTTTCTTTTAAGAACTTTCACCTTGGAACCCATACATTGTGATACTGTTTCTGGAGTTCAAAAACACTATGCTGTAAAAACAGCCTCTCAGCCTGAGCAGTCCTGTTATTATTGGCAGGCTGGAAAATCGACCCTGGATCAGAGTTAGGATTAAAACAAATGTTCTTTTGTCTCAGATGCCTGGTGTTTTCATAAATTCGTTGTTTCTGTTTTTGTAATCAGGAAGACGATCCAGACTTTGTGGAAAAGTCAAAATTGGAGGCAGAGAGTGTGCGACAACTGCAGAGCTTGTTCAAGGGGTTGAAATTTTTCCTTGGCAGGGAGGTCCCAAGAGATGAGCTGACGTTTGTCATTCGGTGAGTGTTTCTCTGTCGTTGTGCTGTGTCTATGCTGCAAGTCACGAACTGGTCTAAGTATGATGGAGTGCAAGATGAAAGCTAGTGACCATATGCAATGACATGTCGGGTCATCGCACGTCAACATTTGGGCCAGAGATGATGCTTCTATGCATTTGTTCCTCTTTTTCTTCTTCTTCAGCTTCTTTCTTATTTTCTTTGTTTTTTCTTCCTCTTTCTCTTCCTTTCTTTTTTTTTTTTTTTTTTTTTCAAAAATGATCTTGTCGTGTGATTTTATTTTTTCCCTGGGTCTGTCCAGATCGTGCAGTAGCGATGTGTTGCCATCTCTCTTTTTCCTTTCCTCCTCCCTCTTCTCTTTTTTTTCTATCTTTTTTTCTCTTTTTTCTTCCTTTAAAAAAAATAAAAAATGACCAGGTCATGTGATTTTGTTCTTTTCCCATGGTAATAATGAGATGCAGTGGTCATTCTTTTCCTCCCCTTTCTTCTTCTTTTTTTAAATTTCTGTTTAAGAAATGATCTTGTACTGAATGAATTTGTTTTTCCCCTCCCTCCAGATCATGCAGTGGCCAGGCATCCTGGGACGACATGCTTGGGCTGGGCGCGACGTATGAGGAATCGGACGACTGCGTCACTCACCAGATTGTTGACCGACCTGCTGTACAGAACCAGAGACTGGACAGGTCAGTAGGCGCTCATCTGACCTCTATCTCGTTGCAAACTTGCCAACTGTCCCAGATTCAGCGATCGGGAATTTGAGATGTCATTTTAGATAACTACAGCATAACACGGATAGCTTGAACACAGGAGACTCAAAATAATGCCTCTGTCGAACTGTGCCTGCTTCCGCTTTTTTTTTTTTCCGGTCCCGGCAAATTCGAGCTATCCGTTTTATACTGTATATCGAATACATCAAAGCTGATTCCTCTATGTAATTTAGTTTGTTGTTATGTGGTCTGCTGTTATAACGTTGGGGGTCCCCGATACCTGGGTGGTTGGCGGGTACCGTGGACTGCTACTCATTTTCCTTTTTTCCATTTCCCTTTTTCGGTGACCTTTTTGTGATCTTATTCATTGACTATGAGAATGTGAGTGAGAAGGTACGATGATATCATTTCAACTCTAAGATGGAACAATATGTGAATATATATTGACAGCAATGATTTTTTTCCAGGACGTATGTGCAGCCCCAGTGGGTGTTTGACTGCATCAACGCTCGGGTTTTGCTGCCAGTGAAGGATTACTTCCCTGGAGTACCATGCCCCCCTCATCTGTCTCCCTTTGTGGAGGAGAAGGAAGGAGAGTATGTACCGGAAGACAAAGTCAAGTTCCTCAACCGCATCAAAGGTCTTGACGAGGCGGAGGAGGATGAATCTGAGCCAGAGGACAGTGAGGAAGAAGAGGAAGAGGAGGAAGAAGAAGAAGGTACAGTCAACATTGTACAAGACGGCTACCCATTGTCAAGAAGAAAAAGGCTTATCGCCTCATTTTGTGAATCATTTGTAATAGAATCTGACCTTTTCTTGGTCTTGTTTCAGGGTGCCCAGTAAAGTCGTAAAAAAGTCATAAATTTGACTCCCTGGTCGTAAATGGTAGTAAATGCGCCGTGAAGGTAGTAAACATTTGGTAAACAGTTGTAAATTAACCCGCTTACGGAATGATGAAGACAGCAAGGCTTCATTGAACCCTAGCCGCTGTACATGACTCCGTTTTTGCTGGTCGCTGTTGTGATGCAATATTCGTTCACCTTTTCACTGTCCGAGAGTAAGTTTCATGCGAAAAAGCGGCTATGCCGGCAGGCGAAAGTGTGTGTGACACCGAGGCTCGATCGGGAAAATCAAGATCTACTTTCGCTTTCAGAAATTGTTGTGGTCGCCAAAGTTCATTCAAAGTCTGAGCGTTGCGAAGTATAGGCCTAGGACTACGGAATGGGATTATTTATTTTTTTATTTAAAGATGCCCTCGGGGGAGGGGGGGTGGGGTGCTGAAGGCAACACCAGAGGACAAAAACTTTGGATGGGTGATAGTAAATTATAACAATATTGTAGCTTTCTGTTCAAGGCCGGTAGATTTTCAGTGTCACTGCATCTTGCCCTCCCGCAGTTCATACCACTCTCTCACTGCATGGGTCTACTAGAGCCATTCAAGTTATTGAGTTTGAGCTATTGCCTTTCATGTTCATAATATTATGAGTCATGACACCCAGATTGCTTCTTAACAGTCAAAATTCTTGTTCAAGGCCCTTCCGAACGCTCAAAGCAGGATTCATTTTTTAATATATAAATAATGAGAGGAAAATTTATCACACACTGAAATACTTAGGGTAAGTCAAACAAGACCCCAGTGCAACACTGACATGTTGTTGACTGGGTATATTTTTCGTGTGTTTGTGTGTGTTGATATGTAACATGCCTCTGGAAAATGGATGACCCCCTGGATAATTGAGAAGCCAGTTTGGCAGTCACCCTGTGTGCACACATTAGGTCTAAATCTAAACCCCCCCCCCCAACCAGTGCTACTGACTGAAGCGTCTTTAGGCCATTCCCAAAGGGGGGGGGGGGTTGTTAACATGCTCTTATGCACAGTAGAATTGTAAGAATGGGCTGATTTATCAATGTCATGCTTTTACTGTGCCGTAACAACATAGGGGGGACTGCTGCTTTTTCTTCTTATCCTTACTATCGTCATTTTCCCTCTACTTCTTTTGTATGTTTGTCACTCTTGTGACACACTATTTCTTGATAGTCGAAGCAGACTTTGTGCTGTTTAGGCTAGAAAGGTGAGCAGGGTAAGCTTGATTGCCCGTTTGGATTTTTCTGTTGACATTTACCCCTTGTTGCTCATATGGCCTTATTCAGTTGGGAGCGATGTAAAACATTACTCATAACTAAAACTAAATCTAGCGGCGAGCAAGCTTGCGATCGTCTGTCTATCCTCCATTTTGTTGACTAGACGTTGCGTGTTGTTTTTGTTCCATATATTTTGTAATGATAATATATGTTAGTGATGGTGCTAATGAACTCCCTTTTTCGAGCTGGTGTGGGGCTTGATTTGCTGGGTAGTAAAAAAAATTTCCAGGTAGTAAATTTTTTCAGCAAATATTGCTTGTTTGGGGGGGGTTTTTCCTTTCTTTTTTTTTTTTTTTCCCCCTGTAGAATTATTTCTTTATCCTTTTGAAAAGCTAATTGCCATATTTTATTAGTCATTTGTAATACAGTCTGTTTTCTTTTAAAGTATTCTTTTGCCTTGTTGTGTCTTCAGAGAAGCCTAAGAGCAGAAAGAGGCAGAGGCAGGACACAGAAGAAGCAGAAACAGAGGGCAAAGTGGCAAAGAAGTCAAAGGTGAGAGCTGCATTCTCTGACTGCGAGGGGTCTTTTACACTTAAAAACCAATTCTGGTCTTGTCTGTGTCACTCAATGATCTGTCCTGTGAAAGAGGCGGGATCTCCGAAATCAATGTCCACCTCCAAAAGGTTTGAGCCAAACGCAAAAATTTGTGCCAAGTGCTTTTCCCAAGGACACAGCGTCAAATCAAGCTGAGCCTTGAACCCCCTGAGTGCGCAGTCTCATGATAACGAGCCTGGTTGCCTAACCATTTGACTACCTGAGTTGTGTTCAAGATGTGAGTTATGACTGTTCATATCATTACGAATCCAGCTATGAGCTCAGCCGAATACATTACCTGTGTATTGTAAAGGGGAGAAAACTGCGGCTCCTTTATGAAGCAAGCTGCATAACAATCGACACTGTAATGTACTGGTGAATTATAGATGAGGAGTCCATGGGAAAAACGGGCATAGTCACAAACTGGAAATTGTGAGGGTGTCAATTTTAAAAACTTGTGGACTCATAACTTCATATTTGTTTGATTGGTGGTTTATTGTTATGTTTGTTGAATGGGAAATCTAACAACAATAATCAACTAACAATTGAACAAAAGTACGATTATGAGTAAACAAGTGTTCAAAATTGATACCCTCGTGATTTTCAGTTTGGGACTATTCCCATTTTTCCCGCGGACTCCCCAAATATTATCACTTATTTTGTTAGAGAATACGAAGAGCAATTACCAGGAAAGCATCCCTCAAACTTTTGAATTGTGATTTTCATACTTGTTTTATCATGACCGTATTGTTTCACTTAGTTTATTATGAAGGTAACTGAGAATGTTTGAGCCGTACGATGGAGGAATTGTCTCCTCTAAGTGGGCTGTTAAAGACACATTGCCTTCTTGCTGGTTGTGGTTTGGGACGCAGTGGACACACACACACACACACACACACACACACACACACACACACACACACACACACACACACACCTACCTCCCCCCCCCCCCCCCCCCCCTTTTTTTTTTTTTTGTTGTTGAATAGTTACGGAAGTAATGAACAGTAACAAGATGTCGAAACTGGTAAATGGTCCTTTCCTCTCCTCTCCCCCCCCCGAGCATTTCATGTGTTTCATGTTTGTCTATTTTTTTCTTCATTTGAAGGGCAATTTAATGGTTATCCCTGCTCCTTGGGGAGGTTTGGTAGGTATAGGACTTCAAGCAGGATATATCATTTTATTTTAAATTGGATATCACTTATGAAAGTGAGAAAATCAGTGAGGGCTGATATAAAACATCTCTTTTTAGTGTAACAGATAATAAATCTTTCTCTTGACAAATTGTTCACTCTTCAACGGTTATTTCCTTCTTCTCAAATTATTCTTTCACACTGCTGTAGTGCTGTTGTACGGAAATCAAGGACAAACCATGATTGCTGATGTCTGTTTGAGATCAAGCAGTAGGGGAAGAAGAAGAGAAATAAAATGATGTCTAATTTATGTCATCCTTGACCTTCCTCACAGGTGAACTCCATGGCCGTGACGGAGGGACGCGTGGAGAAGGTGGACAAGGGGAAGTTACTGGCACGCCAGCAGGCTGAGGAGAAGCGTCTCGGTGAGATGATGATCCCAAAGAAGCACCGCCGACTCTACCACAAGATCATGACTTCCAAAAAGAAGAGCTCACAAGAGGCGAAAAAACTGCAGGAGAAGAAAGACAAGATTACTAAGGAAAAGAAGAAAAAGAAGAAGCAAACTGGATAGATGTGTTGACGTGTGTGTGTGGACGTGTTTTGGATAAATGTGTCGGATGTATGTGTGTATGGACGGGTTTAGAAAGTGATACTTTTTGTATGCTGGTCAAAAGTTGTGAGTGTCTGTGATGAGGATGACGACGAATGGTTATGTCACGTGTATGATGAGGACTGTGTGAATGCATGTCGGTAGAAATCTTGTATTGTTGCCGTAGATGTACTTCAAATGTGTTAACATGGATTTTATTGGGCAATGTTATTTTTCTGCGTCAAACATTGGTATGGTGGAAATAAATAATTATACGAAAACCTCCTTTTTTTCTTTTGTTAAATCTGTGGTACCTTTCTGTTCAGTTATTCATTCTTTTCTGTTGCTTTCAGGTCTATATTGACGGTATCAGTTGCATGTAGTGTGTAAATAAAAAATTACTACTCTTTCAAAGGAAACAGTATGTGGGGATGTCAAGCATGTCAGAAAATGGAATATTTTTTGTCATGTTCACTCCATATACTTGCAACGTATTAGATATGATGCAAGTGGTCTTTTCACACAATTATGAAACTAAGAAATTTCAGACATAGGCCTCTACACAGTTTTCAACTGTTGATATAGATACGTGTGTGCATGCTTTAACCGTCTCTTGTTTTGTACCTGTGAATGCTGTCGCCATTATAGATTGTTGTACGAGGGCTGTCCCACGGAAAACCGGAAAAGGTCCGTAAAAGCAAAAATCTTTGTCCTATTATAATAAAACTGTAACACATCATACCTCAACATGTGCTTTATTTCTCAATGTAATCACCATCCCGCTGGACACATTTTTCCCATCGCTGGATCTGGGAGAAGATACCCTCCCTGAAGAATTTTTCGTCAAGGGATTTCAACCAATCGTTCACGGCTTCCACGAGGTCTACATCGTCGGTGAATCGCTGTCCAGAAATATGGCGTTTCATTGGTTCAAAAAGGTGATAATCTGACAGGGCCAAGTCAGGACTGAGGGGGGTGTAGTAGAAGTTCCTAGCCGAACCTTTGGAACCAGTCTTTCGTGACGTTTGCGGTGTGTGGCGTTGTGCTGCCATGCTGCAAAATGACCCCGCTGGTCTTTTTCGGCCCCAACCCATCAAGCAGAGACCTTTCAATAGTGCAGCTCATCAAACTCTATCCTATAGACAGTCGACTTTGAAATGTTTAGCGACTCGCAAATTTCGCGAATTTTTAGGCGCCTGTCTGATAAAGTTCGTTAACGCGACTCTTGTTGTCCTCAGTCTTGGCAGAAAAACAAGATCCTAGGTAAACTTTGTCATCGATATCAGAGTGCCCGGCTTTGAACTTACTACATCACTCATATACCTGTGACTTTGCCATTACTTTCTCCCCATAAACAGACTTTATTTCAGTGTGTATTTCTAGAGGTTTGAGACCTTTTGCGGTCAGAAACCGAATAACAGACTTCACTTCTACCCTTGACCAATTTTCCAAGGGGGTAGCCATCTTTTGAGAACTGCTGTGCTTGTTGGTTTGTGTGATTCTCATGGTGCTCAATCGGGAAATTTCTAAATGATTGTTTTACAAGTGTGCGTTTACAGAATGTGAAAATATTGAATAGTTTTCAAATTACAGCCAAATTCCGTTTTTCCGTGGGACAGCCCTCATATATCAGCGGCTGAGCGCAAGAAGTGACTATATCCACTTTTCGCAGTTTTGAGAAAAACAAGTTGGAAATTTTGACAATATTGAAATCTCTAAAACATAGTAAAAAAAGAAACGTTAATAGCTCAATGCCGAATTAAGCTATGGCTTATATAAACAGGTAAAAGAGTGGCTTAAAATTTCAATTCCCATATTGATTTCTCCATTTCACCCTAAAATGGATTGGTCACCTCTTGCGGTCAGCTCAGCCATCAATACGAGTGATAATAGTTGACTTGCTTGTCATGTAGCTTGAAGGCTCATGCTCAGTATTAACAAGTAATATCAAGTTTTGAATTGGCCTGATTGTCCTAAAAACAAGCTGACCTCAAGAGTTTTGAATCGGCGAAATAGTCCTAAATAAAAAGTTGGTCTCAAAATCTAAAGAACTACAGTCCACGCCGGCTTTATGCACGGTTATCAGGAGAAAGCATAAGCATGCTTTAATTCCGAAGCTTGCTTGAGTGCGAAGTAGATATAATCCAGAGATTTTCATATAGGAAATTTCCTTTGCTATTTCCCTTTGTTTGTAAGTAGGCCTATAGTGGTCCCGCAAAAGTGTGCACTGTTATTTTTACCCGCCATGGTAGTTTTAATTTGTTTGTTTTGTTTTGTGGTCGAATGGGAATTGAAAACTTAATTTAGACAGCCAGTCACGATACAGCACACGAGGCCTACGTACTGCCTGTGGGTGCCACTGCACGCTGTATCACATTCATACCACTGCCTTCCTCCCCCCATAGAATACACGGTCTTTGATCTCCGCGCGTGTGAGTATGTCTCCATTACTTGCGTTCTTTGTGTTTCTCTTAACCACACTCCACTGCTGCGGTGTAGACTGTTCTAACTTCGATGGGTCATCATGAAAGTATTGACTGTCTTGTAAATGAAGCGTGCCCGAAGCCAAGTTACCGTGCTTAAAGGTGTGTAATTTATATCGCAACATTTCTGTAAGAGCCGTTTAGTGTGCTTGAGTCCGAAACGTGCTTTATGGCAGCGTGCTTGAGTCCGAAACGTGCTTTATGACGGCGTGCTTAAAGCCGGCAGGGACTGTATAAGTTACGTTAAGCTGCAAGTGTGAAAATGAGTGGTTGGCGGGTGCTCTGGTGTGGTTTCCTTCTTCTTTCCTATCAAACATCTATCGTCTTTATCTCTCCTCCTTTTTTGTGTTTGTTACTCTCTTGTAACACCTCTAATCTTCGGCACTGATATGACCTCATTGTGTTGCAAAGTACTGTAGAACACTTACTAAAACTAAATGTGAAAGGTTTTTTTAAAATAAAAGTATTTGTTCAGCATGGACAAAACAGATCTAACTGATGTAAATATTAAACGATGAGAGAATACAGAAAAGTAAGCCCACTATTCACTTATACATGTTGTACTATGTTCACTTATTAGTGCATGCTGGCTCTCAATTTGTATTGAGGACATGCAGATCGATCTCGGCAGTCAGTTAGTCCTAAGAGTTTACCTATTTCTTCCTGTTTTATCATTAGAATATGCCTCTGTGGCTTAGAGGTTAAGGTGTTCGCCTCTCATTTAATAGGTCACGCACGGGTTTGAATTCGAAAAGCAACGGAAAATTTTCTACTCTAAAATTGTGTCCTTTCACATCCTTTCCTGCTCTCCTCTAATTTTGTTTCGTCTCCGCTTTCTGCTCCCACCCCATCACCTCCTTTTCCCCCTCCTCTGGGCTCCTGACATTTACTACTGACTACTGTCTTTCCAGCCACACCCCTGATCTTAATGTGGGAAAGATCTACAGCCTAGCCTTCTGGGACAAGGGCAAAAAATTTCGGTGGTCTCGTGTACAAGCTGCACACGTTAAAGATCTCCTGGTGGTCTAAAATCGATAAGACAAGAGTAGACTTCGGCCGCCACCCGGGCAAAATTCAAAATTTCCTACCAACTGGAAATGTTTACAGTTTAATGTGTCCTGCGCGCTCATATGACCTTATGCAGTTGCGAGCGCCGTAAAACACAGAACAAAACAAAAGAGTATGGTGTCATATGGGCACTAAAAGTAAGAGAATACATTCATGTGTATGGTGTATGTAAAGGGACAGTAAAAAGTAGCCTGTATTTCACTATATCGTTCTGGGATTCTCTCTCTCTCTCTCTCTTTCTCTCTCTCGCTCTCTCTCTTTCTCTCACTCTCTCTCTCTCGATCTCTCTTTCTGTGCCCCCCCCCCCCCACAAAAAAGCCCCAACCATTACACATACACCAGCACCTAATGATCGTTACAATATAACATGTATACAATCGTATTGTACTGCGTCGATAGGCCTGTGCTATTTTTTTTTCTTTTTTTTTTTGCCCCTGGTTGTTTTAGAAACAACAACTCAAAGTAAAATACATGTACAAAGCCGCTCCTTTCAACAAGCTCCCATCCTGTATTTCTGTTTTTATTCCTTCCATTTCATCGGTTACGATACAGAAAACATTGTGACCTGAATACACGTGTACTGAATATCAACTCGATAATTCATAGCTAGGCTTGGCCTTATTATATAACCACTGTCAGTCAGTGTCGCCACAGTTGGCTACACGTATACTGTTACACTGTACTAGTTTATGAATGAATCATTCTATGGACAACAACAAGTGATTATAATTGCAAAATAGGTAAATGAGCGACCGAAATACCAGCCTTATCAAAATGACGTCACTGTTGATTTATTCGTGTGAACGAGAGAGTGTCACTTGCGAATGAGTAATAAGGAACCAGAGCGCTCGTGTAAACGGGGCTTTCCGATATCATTTTCTTAGAAATACATTTCAAATTTATATTGCTGTTTTGTTCCCATCATTCTCACGAATTTCCAAATATGGTGTCCTTTCTGCGAATACGTTTTTTTGCGGGTTGAATGAACGTGCGTGTACATTGCTCTTATGTGGTTGTAGCGTCAGTAGGCTACCGGTACACGAAACTGAGCACTCTGCTACTTTTTTGTTTTTGATATTGAATTGAGCAATTACATTCTCATTTCTTTTTTTGAAAAATATTTGCTCTAAGGATTAATCAACGTTAATCTTTCTGTGTCACGATTTACCGATACGAGATCCCATTGTGTTTAGAAAGGATGGGGGGCGGGGCGTGTTTGATGTGTTGACGTTGACGCGTGGAACAGAAAGAGTTGATCTTGATTTAAAAAAAAAAAAGACAGCAACGTTCAAGCACTCCCATTTTAACCCGGATTTTCCCATTATAATTTAACAGTGTTCTAATTGATCTAACTCAGTGCTTGAGATAACGTTCTGATCGATAAGGAGCATATTGGGACGTAGAAATTGCAACACACCCATGATTTCTCAATGTGCGTTTGTCGGGTGTGCAATTGTTCTCTGCTAGCATATTCCCGATTTCCCCAGCGGAACGTATTTCGCAATGCGTACAGAGTGCGGTCCCCTTGATTAGCGGAGTGATAGGGGGCAGTTAACTCAAACTGACGGAATCATAATAAACGCACTCAGCAGTCGGTCAAGCTGACTGGACTTCATACACAGAGGCCCGGTTAGGAGGCGAGTGTGCGACTTGTCGAAGACAAAGTTATACTATTTGGAGTGTCGGATTATAAATTCTGTAGGCTTTTCCAGCCGTGGAAATGTCGTCTATTCATCTGCCCAAAGTTGTCAGCCAAAGAGGGAAGACTTCTCTGGAGATAGAGCGAGAGAACTTCGAGAAAAGACAGGTTAGTATCGAGATGAGAGCGAAACTCGTGCGAGAATGAAGTGTGTGTTTACGTTGACTGAGGACTGAGGAAGTCTTAGCAAGTCTGTTACAAAGGTACGAGAGGGGAAATGTTAATTCTATCGCTTTTGGGTTTCAATATCTAGATCTAGATCTAGAATCTATCTGTCTCATGTTGTATCATAGTATCATGTCTTGTATGAAACTTGGACCTGAGCCCATCCTCTAGCAAGGGGAGGAATGCACTGATTTTCATCACCAACGTCGTTGCTAAACACGGTGATTCATTGAAGATGTTTTCGTTGAAAGTCCAGTATGTTGCTCGCACAGGGAGAGAGGCCTATTTATTTAAATAATCTAAATCTAATCGGTTTCGTGGGGCAAAGTCTAGATTCTAGGTCTAGAAGTCATACACATGTCTCTTGTAGAAATAAGGAATAATTGGTTATCTGACTGGTTGATCCGATCAAGAATTTTGTTAGACTACCTACACTACACTACAGAACCTGAGGTGCTGCAATGCCCGTCCTAGTGTTTTGTTTCCTACATTCATTATTAACAAGTCTAGATCTAGATTCTATTATTTCAGTCTCATAGAAACACTAGATTTAGATTCTAGTGGCTACTGACCTAGTGATAGTGATGTGTTATATGCTGGAGACTGCCAATTTTAAAACGTGTCATTAAGGGTAGGTTGGGGCAAATTCGACCATGGGGCAACTTCGACAGTCTCAACCTAGACTTGGCTTTTGAGAATCATTTGACCCCTGTGTCGTGGAATTATCAAAGCCCACTTTTATTCGTTGCACATTTGATTCTATCTAAAAATAAAATTTGGGCTTCCTAGGCTTCCACTTGTTTCTTTTTTTAGTCAGAGAGCTCCAGAAAACACCCATCCAAGTTCGGCGCTCCGTGGCCGCATACTTTTCGTTCTTGAAGAAAAAAATCAATATTTCACCCGTCATTTACTTTCTTATACACGCTTGTTTTCTTACTTCAAAATACTAATCAGTTATTTATAACCAAACTTTGGTATCCTTAGGTTCATTTAAATCCAACAAGAATTAGAAATGTTGATTATTTGAATTTAAATGATTTATTTAAAATTATGGGGTGAGATTTTGGGGGTTAATGCAACTTCGACAGGGGGGTGGTCCAATTTCGACCTACCAGCTTCATCAGAATCCCCAGCAGGCTACTAACAAACAATCACATTTCATTAATTTAATATCTTGTTATTGTTTATGTTTGTTTTTATCATTTTCATCATGGGTTTCCTTGACCGGTCAGATAAACTAGCAGAAATTTAGACAAAGACTAGATCTAGACTGCTCATTTATCGCATTTTCGGAGCTAAATGTGTGTGTGTGTGTGTGTGTGAGAGAGAGTGTGTGTGTGAGAGAGAGAGAGAGAGAGAGAGAGAGTGTGTGTGTGTGTGTGCGTGCGTACACGTAGGCCTATGATATGATTGCGTGTCTTCGTGAGTGTGCGTGCTCGGAGGGAGCGGGGGGGGGGAGAAGGACTGGGAGAAAACAGAGAGAGATACAGAAAATTCAGCATTCCCGAGGAGTTGAGAAAGAGAGAGAGAGAGGGGGGGGGCACAATAAGTAGAATAAGAACCCAGTAGGCATGGCCTAGCCTACTGTTGACCGCCCCCTGTCGAAGTTTCCCACAGCCCCTGTCAGTCAATATTCTTACTCTTTCAGCCTATGTCGAAGTTGCCTCATGCGGGGGGTCGAATTTGCACCACCCCCTGTCGAAGTTGCCCCAAGCAAGGTTATGCCACAAAATCGTGATTGGTTGAAATTTCGGAATGCAACTAGAGTAAAGAACATATAATAATCGAGAAGTAGAATGGCTGCTTGGCACAACGATACCAAGATAGTCTGTGTTCTTTCATAAACGCGGGAGCAGTATCGGTAACTTTTGTGGCACTACACAAACCTGTCGAAGTTGCCCCAACCTACCCTAGGTTAGGCCTCTATACTACATTGGACTACATTCTAGATCTAGATCTAGTCATAGTTATGTTATTAGGCCGGCTCTATTTTTCTCCGAATGCTCGGGAAAATAAACTCTATTTCTCCAAACGG